TTTGGTTTGTTTTGGTTTGGTTTGGTTAGACCGAAGTAAAACGTAACACTAATTGAATGGTTGATTGACTTTGTTTAACGGCATATCAGCGGCTATAGATTATTTAATGCCGAAATCTAAATGCTTTCTACGCGGTTTTAATGGCTTCATCTAAAGATATTTGGTACAGAATTTTATATTTTCAACGTAAACGTATGTTTTTTTTAGATATATATTTTGTAGATGATAAAAATGTATTATTGGAATTTTTTTAAATAATGTATTGCTTGTAATTTAACCATTTAAATATATTTTTGTACATTTTAATGTTTTATTGCTGGTCATTGTGCTATAAATTAAAATTTTATTTTAAAATGTATTTTTGGTCATTCATGTATAAAATGTATAAAATGTGTGTGTGTGTGTGTGTTGCAGGACCAAATGAAATGCATCAACAGCAACAATTGTTTGGTTTGGTTTGGTTTGGTTAGACCGAAGTAAAACTAATTGAATGGTTGATTGATTAAGGTATCGGTTAATCTCATCATTACTATGACTATTTTACATATTTCGAAATATAATCTTGCTCTTTCGCATCATATATAATTTCATATTTGGTGCACACCAGTAGAATGTAGCGCTCTATTGAGAAACTACAATGAGGTGAGAATTAAGGCATCACATTTTCTTTTTTCAGTGACGGATCGATGTCATCCCTCATGAAAGCATAAGAAACGTCCATTAGCTTGAGTCTTTTTTCTTTTTTCTTTTTTTTTTTTTGGTGTAATTACGAATTATAAGCAGTTTTCTAGAAAAGGGCTAAAAAATAAAAACGAAACGAAGCAAACAATTTTATTCTCTTCTCATTTTTTTTTTACAGTTTCAGAAAATGAGAACTTTGGCTTTTTAGGCAAAGAAAGAAAATGAGAAATTATGCATTAGAAAAAACAGAGGAACAAAATGTAAAATTAGAGGCGAATAAAAAAAATCTTACACATATAAAAAGTATAAGCTATTGATATATAACACGCAGATAGCAAAAAAAAAGCGTTAAAATTCAACATATGCTAAAAGAAAAACAAGACTCTCAACCCTGGGTTAACAATGCTTCCCCACAGAAACTACTTTGCAAAAGGCTAGTGTTGTATACCAATTATAATATTCCTTGAGAGACTCTGTTCTTGTTGATAAGAAGCAAAGAAAAATCTACATATATTGGTCAGACCACAACATCCTTTTCGCGAAGATTGACCTGTCATCTCTGTGCAAATTGACAAATGTAAACATTAAACAAAAATAGAACCTTCAAATGTTTTTGCCACAATACAACAGTACGATGCTACTCCAACAACAAAAACAGATTTAAAATCCTGGAATCCCAGTGACAGTAACCCACTATAAATCTGGTAAACACCCTTTGCTGCATTGATTTTTTTTTTGTTGTTGTTTTTGTTTATATCGGGCTGGAATAATTTCAATGTGTTTGAGCCGAATTATGACGTTTTAAAATTTGTTGCTCACAACCGCCATTTATAATGTTTCAACCTGATATTCGAAATATTTTCTTTTATATTTGATCAAATAAATTATTTAGAGGCATTAAGAATTTTTTCTGTTCTTTGCAGAAAGACTTGTACGAATTCCTCAAATTTGAAACCCAGAATCTGTGTGTGTGTGTGTGATGTAAATAAATATGGTGATCACTGTTAAGCGATGTCAGGACAAAACAGGATATAAATGCATGGGAAAACGTGAAAGATTTACGAATAAAATATTTATATATACACTTTATTAAAGAATTTAACTCCAAAGAAATCCTTATGGCACATTAAAAAAATTAATTTGGTTTCGGTATTCTGATCACCGTATATTATTTATTTGCTTTTCTTTTTTCTTTTTTTTTTTTTTTACTGAAGACTGTTCTATAGACTCGTTAACATTTTACTTACCATTAATTAACATTTACTTACCATTCCATCTCACCGTTTTCTTCAGAAAAAATATAACAATAACAAATAAAATTATCTGGAACTATGAAAACTGGTTGGCAGCTGACATTATTAATAATTTCACGCCCCTGCTCAACTCACACCTTCATATCCTTTGCTGCCTTACCCTTTTGGTGGGATTTGTAAAATCAAACTCCAAAGAGGCAATATTCCTCGTGAGTGTTTCCATATTAAACTAGTCTCAAGTATGAACTTTATCAAGGTTTGCCGAGAAATTTAAGTATAAACTTGACCAATGTTCACCTGTAGACACAAGTATAAATCCAACCAATGCTTACCTAAGAACTCAAGTACAAGCAATACCAATGTTTACCTATAGTATCAAGTATAAACTCGATCAATGCTTACCTCCAGACGTAAGTCTAATTTTAAAAAAAAAACACAAAAGATTTTGGAATTAAGTAACCCAATTAGATTGATATGACGAAAAATCCACCAAACTAATAAAAGTCTTCATTGCCTATGTGTTAACAAGATTTTATACAAGCAACGATTATTTTCGGTTTATACAAGCGTCAAAAAGCTAGACATAAGCTAGACATAAACCTGGTTTAGACGAAAGCCCTCCCCCCCCCCCCAATATTTAGTTCTGGTTTTCACAAGTGCAAATAAATTAGACATTGGTCAGGTTTAAAAGTTATACTAGCGCCAAAAAGTTAGACATGGGTCTGGTTTACACTATAGCCAAAAAGGTAGGCATAGCTTTAGTTAGCACTAAAGCCAATAAAGTAGACATAGAATTGGTGGATTATACTAGAGCCATAAAGGTAGACATAGATTTGGTTCATACTAGAGCCCCAACGATAGACATAGTCTCGTTTGCACTAGAGCCAATAAATGGATTGGGTTTTATAATAGTGTCAAAAATGGTAGACAAAGGTTTGGTTTAGAGCCCCAAAAGTAAGCATATCTCCAGTTTACATCAGAGTCAAAAAGATCTGGTTTACAACTCGAGTCAAAAATAAAAGATTAAGTTACAATGTTATAATTTACATGAGTTAACATAGATTCAACAAATACAGGTCTTATTCTTGATAACAATTTTTCTCTCCGGATTCGAATTGCATATCTATAAGTTTACCATTCGTCCATGCTTATAATATTGCTGCCACATATGTTCCGGTGCACCTGCTATTTTCCTGGAGCTCTTTAATAAGATCCAAAGAAGAATCAGCAATATTATTGGTCCTGATCTGGCCGCTCGGCTTCAGTCACTTTCCTACCGACGGAAGGGTGCCACACTGTACCATTTTTTATAAATACTTTCATGGTAATTGTTCGAATGAGCTCTTTGCTATGTTACCTAGAAATTTTATTTTTAATTTAATAAATAATTTCCTAATTAATAAGGGATGAAAATTTCGTTTAAATCTCTATCCTCCTTAAGCATGGCTGATGCTAACCTCCAGGTAAGTGATTTGTTACACCTTCTCGAGCTAACGTTCTCTGCTGACATGAAGTGGAAAGACTATATTGAATCCATTGCTAGGTCAGCTGCTAAGAAAGTCGGTCTACTATGTCGGGCAAGACAATTTTTATCTCCAGAATCTATCTTACATATCTATAAGTGTACCATTCGTCCATGCTTAGTATATTACTGCCACATATGGTCCAGTTCCCCTGCTATTTATCTTGAGCTCCTTGATAAGATCCAAAAAAGCATCGGCAATATTATTGGTCCTGATCTGGTGGCTCGGCTTCAGTCACTTTCCCAGCTTCATAAGGTTCCTTTTCTATGTCTTTTCTATAAATACTTTCATGGTAATTGTTCGAATGCGCTCTTCGCTAGAGACCGAGACTGTATGAATTTAAGCGCAGTACTAGACAGACGTCTAGATCTCATCAATTTTCAGTTGAGCCGGCTATGATAACAGCTTCTTTCTCGTACTTCTCGCTTGCGAAACTCCCTTCCGGCTCCATGCTTTCCAACCAACTTTAATCTGCAAAACTTTAAATGCAATCGCTATCTACTGTCCCCCCTGATTGCTCTTTTCTCTTTCTTCTCATTACTAATGTTTCTGTTCCTAATTCCTCCACACCTTGTAACCACTTGCTTGCTAGTGGCTGTACTGCCTTGCTTGGGGTGATATCGATTAAAAAACAAGTTATATTTTATGTTAATGTGGTATAAGCATTTTTCATCTAACAATATAAAAGCGGTCCTCACCAACTCAATACGTGCGTGGCATTCAAAGTTCTCATTTTTTTTCTCAAGTGTTCTGTATCCGGCCACTTGTATGCTAAGTCTATGAATTCGTCTCAAGGAACGAGAATAAGGCGTCGCACTTCCCATTTTATGTGTTCAGCAGAGAGATCTCTATCCGTGTTCGTAAAGGTTCTAATAATTTTGACCATGCAAAGTAAGCTGAAAAAAGGGTCTGTCATCATTAACGCTTTCCTTCCTACGTCTTCCGGCCTTAAGTGAAAGGATGGCCCCTCCCTATCCCAAATCTGTTTTTGTTTACAACATAAAAAGGAAAGGCAAAAAAAAAAAAAATTAAAAATGCAAATGCTTTATGAATCTCCATAGAATCTATAACTATTGTATATTCTTTCTTAATTACGACATCGGGTAATTCGTTTATTTGGGTCTAATTAAAAAAAAAAAAAAAAAAAAAAAAAAAGCATATTTATAATAGTTTCCCAGCTAACAAAATGACGTTCATTTTGTTAGCTGGGAAACTATTATAAATATGCTTTTTTTTTCTTTTTTTTTTTATGCAACGTTACATAGATTGACTGATTCGTTATTTACGACTTATCAACCCATTATAGTTTATTTTAAACCAGAATATATATCTTTGATTGTAAGATTTTTTTGAGATAATAATTATTTACTGATACAGGTTTTACTAATTAACCCATAGATGGGGGAAAGAGGTGGATTCATACCTTTCCCAGGGATATTTGCGAGTAAGTGAATATAACAAAGCCAGCGGGAATTGGAACTCGCCTATACGATGAACAATTCCAAGTCATTATCCATTACACCACCCATACATACAAGCTTATATCACGTGATATTCCCCAGCGGTTACGCATCTAGGTATTAACCAGGCTCGATGTTGCTTAACTTCGGTGATCGTACGGAAACCAGTGTTTCAACGTGATATGAACGTAAGCCACCGTTACGTAGAGGTTTCAAAAACGTTTTTTTTGTAAACTCACCACAATGTGGCTGAAAATGTTCAATTTGACGTTTCAAATACACTACCTTGTAACGTTACATCAGAACGAAATCTTATATTTGTATATAAATAATTGTGCTTTTACCTCCCATCATTAGTTAGCCCGACCGTTACGTCCTGCCAATACCTCATAAATAATGGACGATTCCGTTTTGATCGCGTGAAAAGACAAAAAAACATATCAAAGACGCTACTTGGTTTCAGTGAGAAAAATGAAAAAAAGAAGCGAAGATAGACGTGTTTAACGTCTGTTTCAGTGAAATTGAAAAAGTTGCCAATTTCAATATTTTTTTCGTTTTTACCCCCTTACTTCTTAAAATAACGACCAGCATTCATATTTATGATTGTTATTACAATATATTCTTAAAGTTGTTAAGCTCAAATATTTAACCAGGCGATATCTACGGGTATTTTATTGTCGTGGAACTTGCCATGAACTTATTCAATCATTAATTGAAGAACTGAGATTCATCAGAATACGTGTCCTCGTTAAAGCATTGTCAACAGCGAAAAACAAAAATAAAACAAATTTTTCTTCGTCAGAGTCATTTCTATAGTAAGTAACTATATGGAACTCAATGGCTTTTAGGCTCCCGAGAAAGTTGGCAGGCAATTTTTCGTCCTAGAAATAATTTAAGACGTTCTGCGTGTTTGATCGTAAATACCTAGTGTCCTAATGAGTTTGTTGAAGATAAATGGAGGTAAAATCTGTCTAACAGCATTTTTACGACCTGATCAGTCAAGGTTCATGAAACGGTGTAGAAAAGTGTTATGCATTGGTTTTCATCTGTGGAATAAATCATTGATAAATGCGTTCAGTTAGAAATGACAATTCCAGAAACTATAAACAATTTTTTTTAATCTTCTGCCAGCCGAATACTAAAATAGGAAAACCGTGAAATTTTCACCGGTTAAAACTAGTAATAATATAATGCTATTATCATAACAAACTGTGATATAAACGATTTCTAAAGAAGTAATGAATTTTATATTTATTAATCCAACAGATTTTTTTATCACTTAAACATTATTTTTAATGGATACCTTTTTTTAAGTAGACGCTACAATTTTCATTTTTAAACAATATATTCATCATCGTATACCGGTTTGAATATTTTATAAATTTTATTAAAGAAAATATGCGCCCTCCGGCAGCATTCGAACTTACACCCCTACTAGGCAGGAGAAATTGTCGTTAGATATGAAGTGTTCATACCGATTTAGCCACAAAGAGGATTATCGATCAAGGCTGGATAGCGTCTTTTAGTGAAATCCTTCTTGTCATGGATTATCGAGATTTCATATCTGCTCAGTTTCGTTTCCTTATTTATTGTCATAGAACTCGCTATGAGCTAATTCACTCATTAACTGAAGTATTAAGATTCATCAGAAAATTCAAATAGAAAAACAGTGAAATTTTCACGGGCTAAAAGTGTTGGATAATAAATTCCCGAAAGATATTAGAACGTATATTCATCATTTAAATTGGTGATTCTCTATTAAAAAAAACAAAAACAAATACGAAATGAAATTCACGCTTTCGATATATATTAAGATGATATACTAAGCGTAGCTTAGTTGTGCCACAAGATCGAAAGCATGGGGGTACCGAGAGAGTATCGAACTCACTATTCAGTCGTAATTGATCTACCGAGATAAGTTTGTTAACCATTACACCACGTTAAAGCGCGCCCTTCGATAAATATTGTGAAGAAAAATTATTCTGATGTCAATCAGAATAATTTTTCTTCACCAGTATTAGAATTTTTTCAGCTACATATTATAATGTTACGATAATGTTTCGACAACGTTAGGAATCAGCGGATAGTTCAGGAAAAAATGTATTGCAACGTTACAGTCAGGTCACCTTAAAGTCACATACGACCTAACTAAAATACATCATATTTCCAAAATTACTAGAATATTCCGCGTTAAGCGGATCCCAAGGTCATTGCTTGTATCACCGGTGAGGAAATACATACATACACACATACATACATACATACATATATATATATATATATATATATATATATATATATATATATATATATATATATATACATCATATCAATTCACCTTTTAATTCCCGTATATACCAAAAATTTAAACTATGTAACTTAACTTGCCACCTGAAAAATTGCTTGTATCACCGAGAAATGATACATACATAAATATATATATATATATATACATATATATATATATATATATATATATATATATATATATATATATATATATATATATATATATATATATATAACAGTTAAAAAAAAAATCTGTGGGTAAGTAATCCAAGTAGATCCTATTAATATAAAATATTAAAACTGATCCACAAAAAGAGAGTGCAATATAATTTTTTTTATTATAGAGCATATAAGTGAATTACAATTAATGAGATACAAACAATTTACCTCATACAGATGACCATTTTCATTACATGGGAAGAAGTTTTCTCTGAACATCAATGCAAATACATTATACTTTTAATAAATGTATTTGCCTTGATAAGTCCAGGAAAAAACTATTCCCATGGACGAAATGATTATCTGTATGAAGTAAATTGTTTGGATCTCATTATATATATATATATATATATATATATATATATATATATATGTGTGTGTGTGTGTGTGTGTGTGTGTGTGTGTGTGTGTGTGTGTGTGTGTGTGTGTGTGTGTGTGCGTGCGTGTGTGTGTGTCTGTAGTCTCTTTGTAGTCCTAACTAGTTCCCATAGGTTCTGGAGGCAAGGATAAAAATAACAACATTGAAAACTGAAACCCAAAAATACTATATATATATATATATATATATATATATATATACATACCAAAATACTATATATTTGTTTTGTTTTAATACAAAAATGTGCCACAAGGCCAAAAGTGGGATAGGTGGAGGCTGGTCTTCAATCTGTCTTATCTTAAATTTAGCTAACCACAATTACTGACACAAACATATCACAGTATTCCTTACACCAAAACAACACATTTAAAAATTTAAATTGAAAGTGAATCAGAACAATTGCTATGAACGTATTTATAGAAAAGCCGCAGAGAGGCTAGAATACGGCGATGGGAATGTGACTGAAGCCAAGATGTCATGTCAGGACCTAAAAGATTGCAGATTCTTCATTGGTCTTTATCAGGAATTTCTAAATATACAGCAGGATCACTATACCAGATGTGGCAGCAATATTTAAAGCAATGACAAATGATAGACTTATAAATATGTAAGATAGATTCTAGTGAGAACAATTGTCTAGCACGACTCAGGTGACCGACTTCCCCATGGTAGACCGAGCAATTGATTCAATAAAATCTTTCCACTTCATATCAGCGGAGACCATGAGCACGAGAAAGCGCAACGAGTTACTCTCTTGGAGGTTAGCACGCTAATGGAAGGCAGAAATAAATCTGTCAGATGATTGTTTGAGAGCAGCTTCGTTTTGGAAGCGTTAAAATTAACAAGCCATTCCTTGCCCCAGTTAACAGCAGATTGTAGGTGATTTTTGAGATCAACTGCCAATTTGATCTTATTGGACTCATCAGACTTGCTTTTAAGACAGGAGTAAATGATTGTATCATTAGCATAGAATCCGTGTTTCCGAGGGTCCTTTAAATAAAATAATAATAATGATAATAATAAAATGGGGTCTACATTCTCGCTAACCATATAATTCTTTAATTTCCTAGTCGGTTGCGCACGGCAAGCTAAATATAACCAAGGAGTATAGATTACAACGCGCATAGATTGCATTACGATGTCGGACACACACAATGATACACACAGACACTCTTTCGCTATTTCTCTCTTTGAAACATGAACTTTGGTGAAGCCAAAACAGAAGTGACTTTTTTTTACAAACAAAATGATTGACATTATATTTTTTACTAGACTTGCTAAACGTAAAAGAACAATGAATTATTTTTAAAATGGAGGGACCCGAATAAACTTCTCATAAATAACACAAAAATTTATCGGTACAAACATTACCTGATCAGAAACTTGTTTGGCATCAAACGTTTTTGCTACATTGATATCCTTAAATAAATATTCATGACAGCCTTCTCTTAAATATTTAATGCATATTTCTTCCATTAGGCTGTCCGTTAGATATTTACTAAGCTTAGCTTATGCTGGAATAAAAATCCATTAGTTTATCCATTAGATATATACTAAAATTAGATTAATCTGGAATGAGAACATGTTTCTGTCGTTAGGTTGCCCGTTAGCTTAAGTTAGCCTGAAATAAGACCAAATTTTAGCCATTAGGTTATACGTTAGCTTGACATCCCGAGATAAGACCACATTTATGTTAGAAGATTATACGTTAGCTTAAATTAGCCTGGAATGAGAACACGTTTCTGTCGTTAGGTTGCACGTTAGCTTAAGTTAGCCTGAAATAAGACCAAATTTTAGCCATTAGGTTATACGTTAGCTTGACATCCCGAGATAAGACAACATTTATGTTAGGAGATTATACGTTAGCTTAAATTAGCCTGGAATGAGAACACGTTTCTGTCGTTAGGTTGCACGTTAGCTTAAATTAGCCTGAAATAAGACCAAATTTCAGCCATTAGGTTATACGTTAGCTTGACATCCCGAGATAAGACCACATTTATGCCAGTAGATTATGCATTAGCTTAAATTAACCTGGAATGAGACCAAATTTCCGCCAGTAGATTACACGTTATCTTAAATTAGTCTGGAATAAGATCACATTTATGCCATTAGGTTATCTGTTAGCTTAGATTAGCCTGGAATAAGCCCACATTTCTTCTAGTAGGTTGCCCGTTAGCTTAACTTAGCCGGGTATAAGACAATATTTCTGGTTAAAACTGACCTGTGACGAAATATCAATTCACCTATAAGTTAAGAATGCTGAACAATTGCCTGAAAGATGACGAAGAGACTTGAATCAAAAGAA